TACAATGGAGTATTATTCAGCTACAAAGAAGAATAAAATCATTTCTTTTGCAGGAACATGTGTGGAACTGGAGACAGTCATGTTCAGTGAAGTAAGCCATACTAAGAAAGTCAGGCATTGCATGTCTTCTCTGGTGACCTGGGAGTTTATGAGGAAATCCTACCGTCTTAGAAGCAGTTTGATACAGGAGGGAGGAGAGGAAGGGGAGCGATGGGATTGGAGTATAAGGCATATGTTGTGCCAAAGTGAGACCCACTAGTCTGCCAGCTGTGGGCACTATTTCAAAAGACAGACTTTTTTAATATGTGAGATTATGGTATTTAAAATGCATAGTTGAGTGATAAAACTAAGGAAATGTGACGAAGGCATTATTATGAAATCTAGAGTGAGTGGTATGATAGTCTGTGTTAGGCTGGGCCCTTAAAATAACCATACTTCCAGGTTCTCATGCTTATGTGTGCCCCCACCTCTGGAATTCTGGCTCATCATGGGACTGGCTTTAACAAACTTCGTGTCATTTGGGCTGTTTATATCATTGCAAGCTCCCAAAGGTTTGCCACTACTGTAGAGCATAGTGCCATGCCTCTCCAGACCTAAGCTGTAAGAGGTCCTAACAGATTTGAGTAGCTTTGACATTCTTTCAGGCTCTCATGCTTTGTAGATACCGTATAGAAAAGCCACCTGGAGGGAGAGAAAGCCTTGGTTAAGACACCAGCTGACCTACCAACTAAATGTAGCCACAAGAATGACTACCAGCAAAAATAAGTAGAAACACCCAGGTGAGCCCAGTTCAGAAAGCAGACTTGTGAGCAGATAACTGCATTTTAAAAGCCAATATTTTCAAGTAGTTTGTTAGGCAGCAATAGTCGGGTAGTTATGTGGTACTGGGCATTGAGCTGAGGGCTTTTATACTGAGCTATAACCCCAACCCTTTTCTTTTTAATTTTTGAGACAGAGTTACTGCATTGCCAATTTGGGTTTGAATTTGCAATCTTCCTGCCTCATCTTGCACAGTGCTGGGATTACAGGCATGTGCCACTGTACCTAGCTGCTGTTTTAGGTTAGTTTTGGGGGGCGTTTTGTTTTTGTTTCGGTTTTTTTTTCCCTTTTTGAAGCACTGGGGATGGAACCCAGAAGTACATTGCCACTGAGCTATACCACTGAGCTACATCCCCAACCTTTCTTCATTTTTATTTTGAGACAGTCTTGCTAAGTGGCCTACCCACCTGAGGCTCAAATTTATATTCCTCCTGCCTTAGCCTCCCTCAGAGCTGAGATTACAGGTGTATGCTATTGTGCCTGGCATTCTCTTTCTTGAGTTAGGTCATGGCTTTATGAATACAGTAAATCCTTGACTTATGAACAAGTTCCTTTGCAGAGAGCATTCATAATAAGTCAGCTTCATTTATAATCCAACAGTGAGTTTTATACAGTACACCAATGAAAATTCCCAACTTGAATGTTCGTAAATCAGGGACTTGCTGTATTTGCCTTATAGTGATCTGCTAAGTTATACATCTGTTTTGTGTGCTTTTCTGAACCAATGTTTTATTTGCAAATGAAAATCATTTTAAAAATGGTACAGTGGTGCATACCTGTAATCCCAGCACTCTGGAAGGCTGAGGCAGGAGGAACTCGAGTTCAAGCCCAATGGGGCAACGTGTGAGACCCAGCCTCAAAATAAAAAAGTAAAGTGCTGAGGATGTAGCTCAATGCAAAGGGCCCTGACTCTATCCCTAATACCAACAGACAAAGTATAAAGAATTAGCTTTTTAAAAGAAAATTTATTTTTATCATTAGTTTGAAGTGGTTTGATTACAGTGTGCTTTGATGATATTTATATTTCAACTGTTTGGTGTTGTTGAGATTCTTAAATCTGTAGGTTTAGTTTTCATCAAATTATAAGATTTTTTTCTGTCAATGTTTCCTCAAATGCCTGTTCTGCCCCTCACTTTGGGATTCCTATTATCCATATAGGAAGCTACTTGAAGTCCCATGACTGATACTCTTTTTGAATTTTTTAGATTCTTTTTCTCTACTCTATGTTTCTTTTGGTTAGTTCTGCTGCTATGACTTTGAGTTCACTATATTTTTCTAATATGTAATCTGTCCTATTCAATATATTTCATTTCAGGTGTTAATTTGGGTCTTTGCTTACATTTTACAAAGTGGAAAATAGTTGTAACTTTTTAAATACCTTTCTCTGCTAATTCTAACATCTGGATCAATTTCATTTGATTTTCAAATGATTGCTTATTCTATACATTATGGGATGTCTCTTCCTTTTTGCATTCTGATCATCTTTGAATGGAGTTGAGCATTTCAAATTTTATTTTGGGGGTGCTGGGTATTTTGGTATTTCTCTAAATCTTGAATTTTTTAAAGTAGTTGTTCAGTCACTTGGAAACAAATTGATCCTTTCAAGTCTCACTTTTATGATTTGTCAACTGGTCTGTTATAACGCCAGTCTGGGTTAATTGTTCTCCAGGCAAACATTCCTGAATCCTCAGAGCTGTGTGAATTACATGTTTGCATAGTGTGTAAGTGGGAGCAGGCACCCTGATCCATGCACGTAGTTCTTTCCCAGGCCTTGGGATACTGTTTCTTCACCACATGTCGGTGCCGGTACTCTGCAGAATACTTGAGGGGGACTCTCTGGTACTCCCAGGACTCTGCTGTTGTTTGGTCCTCTAGCATTCTGTGTCCTGTGATCTCTAGCCGTCTTGGTCTCCCCAGAGTCTCAGCCCCATCTTCTCAACTAAGGAAGGACTTGGTGTTCTGCCTCATTTCTCTGCCTCTGCACCCCCTTTCTAAAGGCAGTTGTTAAAGCTCATTTTATTTCTTTTCTGAATCTCAGGATCATTCTCTTAGGTTCCCTTATGTCTGGTATCTCCAAAACAGTTCATTTACACCCCCCACCCCCAGCTTATTTGGGTTCCTTTTACTCCAACTTGGCTGAAACAAGCCTGCCCACAGGGTTGTTCCCATCCCACCCCTACCCCCACCCCAATACTGAGGATTGAACCCAGAGCCTTCACACTGAGCTGTATCCACAGCCCTATTTTTTATTTTGAGAAGAGGGTCTTTTGAGTCATAGAGTTGGCCAGACTGGGCTTGAACTGGTGGTTCTCCTGCCTCAGCCTCCCAAGTGCTGGGATTATAGGCATGTACCACCATGCTGGCGTTCCTGTAAAAAACTGTTAAAAGGCAGCAAGCTGGCATGGCCGGACAGGACGGCGGGCAGCTCTGAGGGCAGAGCCGCTTGCGGGGCGGGAGGCATGAGCTCCAGACAGCGCTGGTGGCCCCAGAGCGGGGACAACCTTTCGCGGGCTCCCAGAGCGCACTGCCCGCCAGTGGCCGGTGAGCATGGATGAGAAGTACCTGCCCGAGGTAGTAGGAGGAGGACTCACTGGACCCCTCCTTCATGCACACCCTGTGCCTGGTGAACCAAGAAATAGAAGTTTCAAAAAGAAGGCAAGGATGGAGAAAAGTACATTAATGTGGTGATTAATAAGGACATGAAGCTGGGACAGAAATTGTTAATTCCTGTAAAACAGTTTCCTGAGTTCCACTTTGTGGGGAAACTTTTGGGTCCACGTGGCAATTCTGTGAAGCGTTGACAAGAACAGGCCTTGGCAAAAATGTCCATCCTCGGAAAAAGTTCCATGAGAGACAAGGCTAAGGAAGAAGAGCTGAGGAAAAGTGGAGAAGCTTGTGCCTCAACGACAATCCCATGTCCTCACCGAAGTGTTGGCCCTACCCGCAGAAGTTTATGCCTGCATGAGACATGCTTTGGAAGAAATCAAGATTCTCGTCCCTAGCTATAATGGCGAGATCAGGCAAGCACAGCTGCAGGAATTAACACATTTGAATATGGGTCAGAAAATGCAGATGTTCCAGTAGTTCGAGGGAAACCCACCTTGTGTCCAAGAGGTGTGCCAACCCCAACAACAACCAGGGGAAGAGGAGCACTTACAGCCCGGCCAGTTGAAGTTCGGGTTCCACGAGGGACACTGACAACCAGGGAGTCTTTCTACCCAGGGGCCAGTGAGCCGGGGAAGAGGCCTTCTCACGCCCTGAGCAGGAGGAGTCCTCCTTACAGGGCGCAGACCTCCACCCGCCCCCAGCACGGGAGTCCTGTGGAGAATGTGACTGCGGTGGTGGCTGCGGCACTGCTTATCATGAACGGAGTTGGTATTCTGCGATAACAGCTGCAGCACCCCGGCCCAAAGTGGCACTGATGACTATGAGTATGAGACTCAGCAATTCCTATGGACAAGAGGAGTGGACTAACTCCGGGCACAGGCACCTTCAGTGAGGACAGTGAAGGGCGTCTACAGGAACCGGCCATATGGCAGATACTGATTGTACTGTCTGATGTTGTGCGATAGCCAATCTACTGTCCTGTACACTGTTCAAAGTAATTTTTTTCTATGAACAATCCCTTTTTAAATAAATCAAAATATTTAAAATATGAAAGGTTGTAACTTAAAACTACTCTGTCATAACATCAACCTGGTCAGGAAAAAAAAAAGACATGTAAAATTTTGTTATTTCCAGTATATGAAAAAATAGGTCATCAAATGGAAAAAAAAAAACTTTGATTAATTAGTGTTAAACAAAAAAAATAGGTTTACTAAATATTTTAATCCATTCTTTTACCATAAGTCTTACTTTCATTTTAAAGGTTTCCATAGAATTTAGTTATTTTATCTTTCGGCCATATGCTGAGTTTTTTTTCTTTCGCCAACATGCATAAAAAGGGAAGCCAATTACAAGCACAAATATTATTTTGTAACTGAAGTCTTGAAATGTTCTATAGTGTTAAGCAAATTCTCCTCTTGCTTGATACTAAATAAACTTTTGAAAGGAAAAAAAACCAAAAAAAATTGTTAATAAAACTCTTCCATGAATGTTTTTCAAACATTAATTTTAAAAATTTTTAAATTCTTTTCATTTTAAATTTCTTGGTCTAAGTAAGTTTTCTGTTACCCTTACAGCTTGCCTCTAAACACTGATTTACTGCATAAGCCAGAGTTACGGGAAACAACCGTCAGTGATGTAACTGAAGCATCAGTCACCACAGCAGTATCCCCAGCGCTGGATGACATTAACACAGCCACCGCAGCACCTGGGTTAGGGGATGCTGACGTGGAATGTGGAAGTGAGTACTTACGCTGTACTACACCGGTGGCTTTTTGTTTTACTTCCCTTAAAATGAGATACCTAAATTAGTTCCTCCAAGAATATTGTATGTAGTTAGTTGAATTTTTTAATTTAGTTCAAAATATTTATGCTTTCTTGCCTTCTTTTGGCCTAAAGAGAACATTGAAATATTTAAGGTAATATAATTAAGGCTGTTAAGCCATTAAACATATGTATCACTTATAAATCATTAGGCCTTTATGAGTTTTCATTCTTGGTTTTTAGTTCATATCTTGAGTACAAATTACAGTAAAAGTTTACTTAAGACAGGATTGAGTAAATATTTGAACATTACATTAGCTCTTGAAAAGTATTTTGTTAGTCATGAGGATTAATACTGTTGTCCCCAAAGAAGAGATAATACACAAGGAATGTTGCTTTCCTTAATTTTTTTCAGAGGCTAAAAAGAGAAAGTAAATTTTTTATTGAAAGTATCTATATATTTAAGAATTTGATTTGAGCACAAAACACGAACTGTTCTTAAACAGGAGTTTCTGTTGAATTTTAGTGTAATGTGTATTCTCAAAGCAGCTTGTATTTATGTGGTTCTTGCCAGTTTTGATTCTATCATAGGCTAAAATTAGACACGAGGTTTAAATAACTCACAGGAAATTGCCAGTCAGTGCTGTCATCTCTAAAGACTATAGAGTACAGCAATAGTATTTAGTAACTTAGAAATGAGAAGTGTTAGTACAAAATCTCACAGTTCCATTTAATAGGGCATGCTGAAGTGGTACTAGTGAATGGGATTAACAAATTTATTCTTTTGTTCCCTATGTAACTATAACAAATACACTGCTAAACAAATGTTCTGGTATGTCATGGTGGTTTTTATTAATGTCTGCTATGTTTAAACTATTAACCTAAGGTAAGGACATTTTCACTTATTAATGGCAGTTTTAGAGTAGGATAGTGCTGATTTTTAAAGGTAATAAGTTATTAGATTAAGAAATTCTCCTTTACTATTCCTTTTTACTTTCTCTGCAGTAATTTTGTTGTTGTTGCTTCAGTTTTGCCAGCCTTGCCCTGGTCTGTACCTCATTACAAATGCTTGCTCTTCATTACTTGAGAGATGTGAGACATAATAAACTGAAGCTATCAGAATTTAGATCCAGCTATTTTTAATGTGAAGTATTTCCAGGTTAAAATAAAAATAGTCTCCTTCGTGGAGATGGATTTCAGTTACATTTCATTTTATGTCCTTTGTATGAATTCAGGTATAGTTATCAGTATAAACTAAAGCGTTTGTAGCATAGCAAAACCAGAGATGGGACTTGGATAAGTGTGTAGCAAAGATTTTGAGACTAGTGTTGAATTATTCACTTTCTGCTTTGGTTTTAGAAGCTCTAGTACCAGAATCTTATCTCCCAAGACTGACATAATTATTCTAGGATGAGACCTGGAAATGAGTCTTTCCTGAAGGTTCTATTTCTAATCTGTAAGTAGGAAAGAATCCACTGGATTATTGATGCCACTTTTTAGGAGACCTCTTTGACCTGGAGAATGTGATTACATAATCTTCTCCTCCTTTCCGCCTGATCAGACAAATTATTAGGTATTCAACAATTTTTTTTGTTACGTGACAGTGTAAAATATTCAAATTCACACCAAATTAATCCTTGCAATGTAAGATTATATCAAGGTGATTAAGAGTTAACTTAAAGAGGAATTATTTTTATTGTATTATCTCAGAGGACTTTTTAAATAATGTATCTTACAGTACAGAAAACATTGGGAAGACAAAATGCTTGTCCTGCCTTATACCTGATGGTTCCAGTTTGTCCTATGTTGGATGAATGAATATATATATCCTTCCATCTCTTTGCTCCAGTTAAGTTTTAGGCAGTAGGTAGTCAGGGCCAGAAATGAAGATAGCCAAGTACTGAGGTCAGACATGAGCCTGAGGTGAGGTTACTGAAGAAAAGGACTACGTCATAAGTTTTTGCCCTTCAAGTCTCTTAAGCACATATATATGCTATTGAGAGTTCATATGCAGTTACTTTTTAGGAGCAGTGCAGACACATCACCGTACTTACTATTACATAAATCTTATATTAATGTAGAGTAACCTGATTATAAAAAGGAAATACATTTATGTTCATCTGGATTATTACTTTTAGTGTATATAATTGTCGAAAAACAAACCTTACCATCTGTATCCTTACAGACCTGTGACAGCCTTGCAAACTGATAGGTTTTCTCCCCCCATAACAACTCTTTTTCAGCATTGAAAGATGCATCCAAGAAGCTCAAACAACTTGAGATAGAGAGCAGTCCTTTGCCGTCCCCCCGATCCCACATCGATGTTAACATCAACAGCCAGGTATTCAGATCTCTCTGCTTTCTACCCGCTACATGTCTCTAGAGCTCCAAGTAATCTTTTCTTTCTAAAGATAATACTTTCTTTTGTTAGGAAATACATATCTGTCTGTGCTGAGCTTTTACAAACCTATTTTCTTATTTTAAAAGATGAAATTTATGAATATTTAAGAGGAAAGTTGTACAACAGCATTAAGAATTGTAAAGTCATCTAATGACTGTTTTAAAACACACAGTCAAAAGTACACTGCTGTTAAATCTTTTATTTTGTTTCAGCCCATCTGGTTGAAGAACTTTCTAAAAATCTTTTGAAATTATAGCAGCATTTGTTGGAAGAGAGCTGCTCTGTAGGGTAAACAAAGAAGGGAACAGAATTTCAGATGCTTCAGTTTCATCTTTCATTCCCTTCTCTCTGTCCTCTTTGAGTCTTATTAGTTTTTGTTCATTTGGCATGGAGTGAGAGATGCACACCAATTAAACCAGTTTATTTTTATAATTTTGAATACTTTTCTTTATATTTAATTTATAGGAATAACTAAAATAAGTTGAATGAGGTAGAAACTTTATAATTAATCATATCAGTTACTGGCCCTAAGTAGAATAGTGATTTTAAGCAATGATCTTGTGAAACACTCTTTTTTTTTTTTGTATATATAGACAACTGATAACAAGGCCAAGATGACTTCTATTTTCTTTTTAAAGAAGAAAGAGGAAGAATTGATTTGTTGTGTTCTGCCATCCTTGGATAGCTAATTTCTTTAGAGATCAATATAGAATAGAAAGTGACTCACTATCTTTGCGTTATCATTGCTGGTATTAAAAGTGTCCTTCTGGATC